TTAATTGTGTTTGGCAAGTATTCTACTGCCTTAAATAACATTTAACTCCTGAATGTACTTCCTAATTGTGGAATAAAATGTTATCAGGGTTAGTAATGATTAATTAGTATGGGATCAGCAATTTATATTAGTATACTGGATCCTAAAATGTTAATGATCCACTGACTTGAGTGAATCAGTAATTATGGAATGAATTCAGGCTATAATGGACAGTCTGCTGACAGCCATATATTGAAATATTTGTATAGCCCAAATGGTTAACACATAATTGGTGTTAGTGAGGAATTAATATACAAGTTATGAGCTGTTGCTCCTGGTGACCTAAAGATTCTTACTTCAGTATGAAGTGTAGGCCTAAGTGTTGTGGGCAATTAACTGTGTCCCACTAGTGCTACCTTATACATGAGGTGAAAGTAACAATGAATTGGTGTGACTTAGGCTAACCTATGTGTACGCTGTTGGTAGACACAATTATTTAAAATGGTTAGTCTAGACTACTTCACACGGTTATTAGTTATTACTAATTAGTATTTATAGTTATAATTTATGTTTATCCGGTTCGAAGGACCATAATGTGGGACATTTGGGGCTTGACTCTATTTATTTAATTATTAAAGTAATGAAATCAATTACGAAGGACCACCCGCTTTTATAGTAAAGAGGGAAACTAATAAAATGTGATCATTAGAAATTCCTAGAGGAACCAGTAACTATGGATAAATACTAGAAAATATAATCACTTGAATAATTAATGGGCTGTATAAATAATTTAATTGAATCAAAGCCTCAAACACCTACATTTGGGGGTTATTGCTAGAACTTCATATATGTCTAGGAACTAGTGTGGTTTGTACACCAGTTCATTGTGTAATAACCTAATCTTATGACCAATTAGAGAATCAATAGTAAATTTGTCACCAAAAAGAATATAGATCATAAATATCAGAAATTAATAATTATAATAAACACGTGTTAATTCCAGTGCACAGTACTCTATAATGACAATCAAGTACAGATAATTTGAATAATAAAGAAATACGAAAAAGTCTTAGCTTGAAGACGTTTTCGAAGACATCAGTCACGAATCATCCTCGGAATCTCCGGAATTCTTCGTAGAACACTGGGAGATGAATAACACAGGTAAAGTAACAGCTCGTGGAATTCCTCACACGCAAGCTGTAAAATAAGATATATTAGGTAGCAACATATTAGGCTACTAAATATCTATATTCAAGAAATTGGGAATGGAGATTAATAGAAAATACTAACATGTGTTTTATTTATGTCGCTCGGCATGACGACAAGCTACCCTGCTATATACAATCTCTAATGATGCATCAAAAGGGAGTTATATGTGTACTTAGCTAATAGGGCACTGTATAAGTTGATGCTTGCCGAAACTCGCGTCTCAGGCTCTAGCGTCACAATGGCGAACACGTGGTGGCTAGCTTGGCCTTGATGTCGACGTGCTTCTCTGGCCGGTCACGATGGATTACGCAGAACAAATTGACAAGTTCTGGGCTGAATGTCAGGTTAAATCTCGCTGACGAAAAAGTTCACCACAATGTATCCTAGACACTGACACTAAACGAGTTGCTCAATTCCACAACAAGTCTTCACGCCGCACTCTGGCGCCTTCCTCTCCCACCGACGCCTCCACACGTTCTCTAATGGCATCTCTCCCTGCCCCGTGTCCCGCATTCGCCATACAAATTATTCACCACGAATAATATTATTTCTCGCAGTTGTGGCTAAAATACTTTGATAAAGACTGGGTTATAATTCTAGGGAGTTAAATATTATTACTTTCTTGTTTTACAATGGTAAACGAGAAATGAAGATGATTTTAATTCTCTCCATGGCATTCACGCGTGACGTTAAATTTATTACCAGATAACAGTTGTAACTAGAAACGCTCGATTTGGCATTATTTGGGAGTCATGTTATCGGTAAATAATTATCACACAGAATACTGTTGTTTTTAGAGAATCAAACTCAATTCTCTAACACACTGGATATAAATGTGTTTATTTTGGCAGAATCTGACGCAATACTGGTGTTTGGTTACGTAAGAATTCTAGCATTATTGTACAGATACAATTATTAGTTCATGTGAACTCTACTGTTAGTTAATTTTAGTTACTACAGGAATTATTAGATTTCAGTAATAATTAATAATAATACAACTGTATTGTATTAGTGTTGGAAATTTCCAACACATATCACTACATGATCTCATTCAGTTATATCTTGTTTCTGTAACAATATATAACTGTAGTATTCAAATCTGTGATAGGGAAATGGGAAAGAAATATAAAAAGAGAGGTCGAAGCTTGGAAGGAAGGAGAATTAGAGGAGTAAAACGACTTAGAAAATACAGGAAGAATACAGAGATAAAGAGGTATGAGGGCAGGAAGGAGAAAAGAGGAGGATTAAAGGGAAACTAAAATGGGAAGGGTGGAAAAAACTAAAAAAAGGAGAACTAAAAAAATGACAGCTAAAAAAGGAGAGCTAAAAGTGGAAAGGAAAGGAATTAAAAAACTTGTGGAGGGAAAGGGCCTAATAGATATGTAAAGAGAAAGAGAAGGATTCACTTCCACCATCCACCATGTTACAGACGTCTGGAATGTTATTCGAAGCTGTTATCTCTAGTAATGATAACATGTAATAACTTACACAATGAAATGTGTAAGTGAGTTTCCTTCACTCTTCTTTACACCACACATGACTAGCATGAGTTCAAGATGTAGGATTTAAAGGCAATCATTCAAAATTTAGTTTATATTTTTCTTATTTACTCAACATATATAAAATGTTAATCAAATTAACATTATGAGTGGCGTCACTAACGGAAAAATTGAGAAAACTGCATGACTGACTGCCCCATGGCATGTTCACCGAACATTTAAATAGGAATCACGGTACACCATTCAATACCTCACATACATCAGCCGCAAGGTCTAAGATAATAAGTAGACTGAGGGGGGGAGGGGCAGTCTCGTTCAAAGACCCCCACCAGCCTGCAGCTGGATATTCAACTCTCAATGTGAGTGCCGATCCCCTATCTCTCCATCTCTAAACTTGCTAACCCAGTTTATCTGCAGAGTCAAGAAGCTACGCCCTACCCACATGACAGAGCATGAAGCTATCTTGCTACAAAAAATGGACAAGTGGGTGCTTTTTGGTGGACGGAGCACGGCATGCCGGCACAGTTGACCCACAACTACCCATTTAGCATGGGTAGTATTTCGAGTCACTGTATCTGAATTGTCATTAACATGTGGTCCCCCACTACCGACATTAACATGTGGTCCCACCACCACCGACATTAACATGTGGTCCCACCACCACCGACATTAACATGTGGTCCCACCACCACCGACATTAACATGTGGTCCCACCACCACTGACATTAACATGTGGTCCCCCACCACCGACATTAACATGTGGTCCCACCACCACCGACATTAACATGTGGTCCCACCACCACCGACATTAACATGTGGTCCCCCACCACCGACATTAACATGTGGTCCCCCACCACCGACATTAACATGTGGTCCCCCACCACCGACATTAACATGTGGTCCCTCACCACCCGACGGAAGGAAGGAAGGAATTTGGAAGGAAAACAACAATAAACCATCAGTAAATGTATGTCCTTGATCAACCCGTTCTCGCACTTTCTTTAAGTCAATATTGACTTATTAAATAAGTACATATGTGACATAATATTTTATTGTGAATATTTTAGTTTACCTTGAAAAGCTTCATAGAAAACACCGACCTTACCTAACCTTCTTAGTATGTTAAGATAAGCATCTGATTGCTTCGTAATTACAATTATTACTTTACCTATTATTGGTATAGGTTAAGTAATAATTGTAATTACGAAGCAATAAGATGCTTATTTTAACATACTAAGAAGGTTAGGTAAGGTCGGTGTTTGCTATGAAGCTTTTCAAGGTAAACTAAAATATTCACAATAAATTAGTATGTCACATATGCACGTATTTAATAAGTCAATATTGACTATAAGAAAGTGCGAGAACGGGTTGATCAAGGACATACATTTACTGATGGTTTATTGTTGTCTTCCTTCCAAATTAGAACCACTACATGATTATGTTCAACCTAAAATAGTTTAAGGTCCAGCGTTGTCAAAATGGCCAGTAGCTTATATTTTGGCTAGCTACCAACAGCCAACCATTTGAGTGTGTGAAACCAAAGTTTAGCTCTCTTTAGCTGTTTCAATGTTAGTCTTCAGGATAAATAGTCTGCTGGATTTTCTTTTCTTGGGAAGTGTAATAACTCATGCAGCGAGGAAAGGTCTCTTATTTCGAGTATTCTTCTAATTGTAAAAGTAGTTTTACTCATATTATTGCTTACCTATTTAATTGTGTTCTCATTGCATACCTATTGAAGTACGACTTCAATATCAGATCACCTTACTTGCTTAGTACGTTAGTATATCAGCTGGTAAATTCATTCACAAAATTATTTAAAAATAAGAAAAAGTAAAGAAGAGCAATGAGTACTTTCTGGTGTGCTGCAATATTTCTTTCACAAACTTTTATTAATTTTTGCTGCAACATGTTTCACAAATTCAGAGATAAAATTCCTGAACCACCCGTAGTTATTGTACGTTATTAGTTATTGTAAATGCACATAATACATCTTAGCTTCAATATTATGATGTATTTATTGTAAATAAAATTAAGATTATTTAATTTTAATTTTAAATAATTATTTTATAAAAAATTTAAATAAAAATTATCGAATCTGTAAAATAACTGTTTCACTTAATTTACAATTAAATACTCGTAAAAACCTGTGTATGGAGGACAGACGTTAAACAGACGGAGGACAGACAGCAGGAATAAAAAGTAAATCATAGTCCTAAATATACTGGTTCAGAAGAATTGGTCCATGAATAGAATTCAAGATAAGATTATTTTTATTTTTATTAGTTTTATTCAAGATATGTCCAACCTTTTCAGAAAGCTTGAAAGACTTCATGGGCAACAAGATTAAAGTAGTAACAGTATCGGTTATTTTACCGTATCTTGACTACCAGCGAGTCAGCGAGACCCCCGGAACAGCCGTTGTGTTGACCGACTCCATTGATGCCCGGCTCATCCACACCTTCGCCCACAAACTTAACTTCACGTAAGATTAAACCTGCCCACTAAAATGTTTGAATAAAAATGAGTTATTACAAACAAAGTACACACGCAAACACACACACTGACACAAAATGATCTGAAAAATATATTAGCCTTTATCCCTGATAAATGCAATTTTATTATGATAGAAACTGGAGTCAAATGTTTTAAATACCATACAGTATGAAGGGAAGACACTTTTCATTCTCTGAAAACCCAAAAATAAAAAAATTAGGAGTGGACATGACGAAAAATCTTATACCAGAGGCACACAAGAGCAGAATAGCGACAGCTGCATATGCAATACTGACACACGTCTGGTTACCTTCAGGAACCTGTATAAAGATCCTTTCCGAGCGCTGTAAACATCCTTTGTGACACCCATTGTTGAGTATGTTGCACCAGCTTGGAACTCCTATCTAATGAAACATAAATCGAACTAGAAAGGGTCCAAAAATATATATACCAACGCTCGTTTCTGAGCTAAGGGGCCAGGACTATGAATAATGATTGAGAGAACTGGACATCTAAGCACTGAAGGAAAGAGGGAATAAGGCAGACAGAATAACGATGAAAAAGATTCTAAGAAGGATTGAAAAAGAAGACATGGAAGCACAGTTCAAATTATGAAACAGTTGAACTAGAAGACTTTAGTGGCAATTGGAAACACAGATAAGTTACGAAGATGAGAGTAAGAATTTTCCAGTATAAAAGTCACAACTGAGTGAAACGAACTAAATAAGGTAGTTTTCGAAGCCACTTCACTACGCAATATTAAAAGTAAATATGATAAGAAAACTAGTGAAATTTTTCTTAGAACTAAACTGCTTATGCTCGAAAAGCGGGACATAGGAACAAATGCAACGATTCTCCAAGAACAGACAGGTGAGTATGCACACGTACATGCACAAATACACACACCCACACACAATCAATCACCCTATCAGTCCTAGAACACCTATGTATGTCGCTGCAGGTAATCCAGCCTGCAGTTGTAACTCTATACTTCAGTATAAGTATTCCTTATAAGAAACCTTATACTGATTACCAAAAATGGTAATCAGTCACTCACCTTACACTGCGTCTTGCACGGTAATGACAATCAAACACTCTACCAACTCCCTACATTTAGTCAACAAGAACTTCCCTTCCTCATTTGGAAGTTCACTACCCTGACATCATCAGGTTCTTCCTTGTTTTTCTACCAGAATCCTCCGCAGCTCTTTCAGGCTGCTACACCATGAAGCAGCCTGGAAGAGCAACAATGGCGCTTCGTCACTGATATCACAAAAGCGTGTGAAACTTCATTACACTACTCCTCTTCTCTCAGCTTGAGGTCCGGCTCCTCACTGTATGGCTGATCTACCACAGAGCTGAGTACCTTCTACAACCTTGGAATCTCATCAACTACTCCCTCTCTGCTGGCTTCGAAGTTCTCAGCAACTTCATCTCCAGACAAACCTGCAACCCATCGACACGCCAATAAAAATGTTTCCCTATAAACACATAAACAAAATAAACCGCACCATTAATGTTTGCACCCAACATCTATCTGCTTTCTACATGCTGTGAGTGTGGACTCACCCGTTTGCGCTGGTCCATCCTCCGCCCGGCCAGGGAGGCCCTGGAGGTGGTGGCCGGCCCTCAGTTGCCCTCCAGCGGTCGGAGTGGGTGGATGTCGCTCCGTCCTCCAGGACGTTCCTCCATCTTTACTCTTATTTTAGGCCTTCTGCCTTATCAAAACATGACTAACATATCAATAAACATTCGCTACGATCGCTGGGCACACGATCAACTATAGGCAATCACTGTAAACTGGTTAAAATTGTGCTTACCACAAAAAGGTCTCCTGCAGGGCGCTCTCCTCGATGACACCCGACCAGGGTGCGCACACTGCTGCCCTCGAAAATGTTTCTGGGCGGCTTACAACTCTTCCTTGCCGCCCAGGACTTGAGACCATACGTTCCCAGCTCGATTCCACGGCTGAAACGTCTGCACACTTCCTCTTGAAGGTATATCAACTAGAGGTTCCTCTCTAACAGGAGCTCACATGTGGAGTGTGGCTTTCCCTCACTATGTCTGGTGCTCAAGTGGGCTCAAGCTCCTCTCAAGCGAGCCTCACACCTCCACCAAACTCTCCACATCTCATAACCAGTCATTTATCTATAAACTAATTCACTGCCAATATTCTTATACTATTCACCAAATCCAACCAATTATTTTACGTATGAATCGTCATGTCTATATTTCCTTGACATCCTAGTCAGGTCAGGCCTGATAGAATAATTCTCAAATAGAAGACTCGTTTTTCAGCTACCTGGGATCATAACAGAGGGCAACATCTGCTGCCTTTAGAAATAGATCCCATCTGCTCATCATAGGGGACTTCAAACACTGAAGGATAGACTAGGAGAGCAAGGAATCGCATGGAGGTGAGGATACATGGAGAGCTAAACTATTGAAGGTGGCGACAAGAAACTTCTTAAGCCAGCATGTCAGGGAACCCACAAGAATGAGAGGAAATGATGAACCAGCAACAGTCGACCTAGTCTTCACTCTGATCGACTCAGTCATAAGGGAACTCAGTATCGAGGCTCCAGTAGAAATTAGCGACAACAGTATACTGAAGTTTGAGTATCTAGTTGAAGAAGAATTAAAGAACTCGAGGAGGGGAACTAAAAATAAAAGGCTGGCATTTCGAAAGGGAAACTATGAGGAGATAAGGAAATTCCTAACAGATATAACAAGGGAAACAGAGCTCAGGGGAAAGACGGCCCAGACAAGATGGACTCCATCAAGCAGAAGTGTAAGGAAGCAGCAGACAAGTTTGTCCTGGTTCAAAAGGAAAACAATGAAATGCAGATGAGAAACCCATGATTTAATCAGAGATGTAGGCTTGCTAAGCAGCAAAGTAAAATGGCGTGGAGAAACTATAAAAATATAAGGACACTTGAGAGCAGAGAAAGATACCAGAGTGCCAGCAATGAATACGTTAGGGTGAGAAGAGAGGCAAAATGGCAAGATAAAAACGACATAGCAAGCAAGGCAAAGACTCAAATTGCTGCACAGCCACATCAGGAGAAAACAACAGTAAGGGAACAGGTAATGAAATTGAGGATAGGGGCAGATTCACTACAAACGACGAGGAAGTGTGCGAGGAACTCAGTAAGAAACTCTAGCAGGTCTTCACTTTAGAGCAAGGGTAAGTTTCAGAGATAAGAGAGGAAATAGTTAACCAGGAATCATTAGAAGAGTTTGAGATTACCAGTAGGGATGTAAGGAAGTTATTGCTAGAGTTGGATGTGACAAAGTCTATAGGCCCAGATGGAATCTCTCCTTGGATACTAAAGGAAGGAACAGAAGCACTGTGCCTGCCACTCTCCATAGTGTATAGCAAATCACTGGTAAAAGGGGAACTGCCAAAAATTTAGATGACAGCTAATGTAGTCCCGATATACAAAAAGGAGGATAGACAGGATGCACTGAACTACAGGCCAGTGTCCATAACTTGAATCCCATGCAAGCTGATGGAGAAGATTATGCGAAAAAAAGCTAGTGGAACATCTGGACGGATAAACTTTGTGACACAGCACCTACATGGATTCAGGGCTGGCAAGTCCTGCTTCACGGGTTGAATTGAATTCTACGCCCAGGCAACAAAAATCAGGGAGTAAAGAGAGGGGTTGGCAGACTGCATATTTTTGGATTGCCAGAAAGCCTTTGACACAGTACCACACAAGAGGCTAGTGAAAAAGCTGGAGATGCAGGCGGAAGTAAAAAGAAAGATACTCCTTTGGATAAGGGAGTACCTAAACAACAGAAGACAGCGAGTCACTGTGAGAGATGAGGTCTCAGATTGGCGAGACGTCACCAGTGGAGTCCCACAGGGTTCAGTCCTTGGACCTATACTGTTTTTGGTATGTAAATAATCTCCCAGAGGGTATAAAATCGTTCCTCTCATTGTTGGCAGATGATACAAAAATTATGAGGAGGATGAAAACAGAGGATGATAATAGGACGCTACAAGATGACCTAGACAGACTGAATGAATGGTCCAACAAATGGCTGCTAAAGTTTGACCCGAGTAAATGCAAGATAATGAAACTAGGCGGTGGAAATAGGAGGCCAGAAACACGATACCGAATGGGAGATGAGGTACTTCATGAATCAGGCAGAGTGAAAGATCTAGGAGTTGATACCATACCAAACCTGTCTCCTGAAGCCTACATAAAAAGAATTACATCTGCAGCATACGCAAGGCTGGCTATCATCAGACTTCAAGAACCTGTGTAAGGAATCATTCAGAATCTTGTATACCGCATATGTAAGACCAATCCTGGAGTATCTGGCCCTAGCATGGTGCCCATTATCTTGTCAAGCAGAAGACGAAGTTGGAAAAAGTTAAGAGGTATGCCACTAGACTAGTCCCAGAAGTAATAGGCATGAGTTACGAGGAAAGGCTGTGTGAGATTCACCTCACGACACTGAAAGACAGAAGAGTAAGGAGAGACATGATCACTACCTACAAAATTCTTAGAGGAATTGACAGGGTAGATAAGTATAAACTTTTTAACATGGGTGGTACGCGAACAAGGGGACACAGGCAGAGACTGATTACCCAAATGAGCCACAGGGACGTTAGAAAAAACTATTTCAGTGTCAGAGTAGTTAACGGATGGAATGCATTAGGCAGTGATGCGGTGGAGGCTGACTCCATACACAGTTTCAAATGTAGATATGATAGAGCCCAGTAGGCTCAGGAATCTGTACACCAGTTGATTGACGGTTGAGAGGCGGGACCAAAGAGCCAGAGCTCAACCACTGCAAGCACTACTTGGTGAGTACAGACACACACACACACACACACACACACACACACACACACACACACACACACACTTTACACCGGCTAGGGGAGCCGGTGACCGAGCGGACAGCACGCTGGGCACGTGATCCTGTGGTCTCGTGTTCGATCCCGGGCGCCGACAAGAAACTATGGGCCGA